TGCTGTCCAGAACTGAACAAATACAACACTCAAGAGCAGGATCAGATCTATATTCTCTGCCCCATGACACAGCTGGGAGAGAAATAAATATTCTGTACTAGGAGTTACATAAGATGGGGTTGCACGGGGTCTGTCGGGGACTTCTGCCCAGTTTCTCAGCTATTCAACACTCTGAAATAGAGAGGTGGTCAAGCAACTGGCCAAAGCCAGAGGGAGTATTCTGGGATTTTGGATATGTTTGGGAGCACAGACAGTCTTGCAGTGAAAGAGAGTTTTAAACGGAGCTGTCCAGGTGATGGGGTCAGTCCATGTTCTTTGGCCCTCCAGATGCAATGGGCTTATCAGAAGAAATGAAAGAAACAAAGATGTTACAGTCTAACAAAAACTGGGGGTGACTGGTGTATAATACAGCAGACGGAGGGCATTTCTGATCACTGCTCCTGGGATTGTAATGTTTTGTTTGCCCTTACTTGAGTGGATGTACCTATAATTCATGAACAGTTGCTCATTTTGTAGGAAGTTGTTGCTGCCCTTGCTGGGCTGTGCCTCCTGCTGGAACAAACAAACCAGGGCAGGCCATTTCTTGTTGCTGAGAATGTAAGAAAAGAGTAGGAAATCTGTCTGTGCTGGCTTGAGTTTACAGTCTGGTTTCTTCCATGCCTGCTTTCACTCACCACTAGAAAGGTGTGACCTTGTGGTGAATGAAGAAGATGCTGTGTATCCATGCCCGATATTCCTGAAGGATTAAATGTTGGTCTCAACATGTTGCAATTGGCATTGGTAAGCTGAGCCAGTTCTCAGGATGGGGTACTCCATGGTGCTTAAAGAAGCATGATGGTTTCATGAAGAATGCCTGCAGAGCTTTCTATAGCACCTGGAGAGCAAAGAGACAGGCAGGTGACTGGCTCTGCAGGAGTGGTATCTCCATGTATAGCTTAGCCCTCTGCTAAGCTTATGGAATGCACAGGGCTGGAGGTAGAGCACCTTTCAAGGATCTGTTAACGACTCTCTTCCCTAACTGCCTTGAAGTAGGGACACAGGGCACAGGGACCTTAGGACACAGGGCAAAGCTTGTCTTTTGTATCTGGGTCACTTAGGTAGATTGAGGTAATACAGATTGGGCCAAAAAAAGCAAAACACTAGTCAGGAATCATCCAAGAATATTTTGTAATTTGTTTTTTCCAACCAGAAACAAGGAATGTGAAAATAATTTGTCATCAAACAAAATGAAAGGAAGCCTTGGGGTTCAAGTCTCCATAAAAAAGAGAAAGGAAATAGTAGGCTGGTTGGTATCTTCTTTACCTAATAGTTAGTCATTAAGGCCATGGGGAGTATAAAGACATGCAATTCCTTCCTATGCTCCAGAAGTTTTGTACTATATTTCCTGGGTAAGTTCTCGACCCATGAGCTTATCGAGTGGTTTGAAATGCCAGTTTCATCAAATAACACAATTGCAAATCATATATTAGCAAACATATCTACTGCAGGTGACTGGAAGCAGGTATCTCACCTAAACAGAACAACAGTCATTTCTAGCTCCTGCTCTAGTTCCGTCAGTATTTAACTGCTCTGTGTGAACCACAGTACTGTCAGCATGAGAGGCTGCCATCACCCACTGCCTCCTTCAGGCCCTGTGGCATGGGGACTGGGATGTTCTCCAGGGGGGGCTTTAGCTTGCCCTAGAGAGAGGAGGGAACTGTCATGCTTGTCAGGAGAGTGTTCTAACATCAGGCCTCTGGGATTTAAAGGGTCATGTTCTCCCCTCCTGGTTTATGATTTTTTTTTCCCCAAATTACTATTTTTTCTAATATAGAGCAGCCATTTAATAATGAAGTATTTGCTTACTGCCCTGAATAAGTCCTTTTCTAACATAACAAGGAGAAGTTGGGAACGCTTTAAGTCTGGGAACATGAGTGAAGTAGTCTCTGCCTCTAGGACTAACATATGACTGACTTCCCAGTGGACCACATGGATTTCTGTCATCAAAGGGAGTTCAGGAAAAAGAAACAGAAATTGCTTATGGGGAGAGCAGGAGTGACCGTCTCATGGGAAGTATAAACATGTGGATTGTTTCACTCCTGCCTGGGGACAGGACATGAGCAGAAGTGTAAGAAGTGTGAGTACTTAGGAAAAGAGAGTGTTATTTGGGGCTGGACAATTATCAAGAGTTGCAGGATTGCGCTAAGAAGAGGTTAGACTGAACCTCCAGGAAATCATCTCACTGTGCAGGGCTGTGCAAATCCATCGTTTGGGATGTTTCAGGTCAGTGAGGGCAAGACTCTGAAGACAGGGTGTGGGAAGCAGTTCTGTGAAGGCAGAAGGGAGGGATAAAATAGGGTAAATCTTGCATTGTCTTTCCATCTCTGTCTCCTCAGATTCTGAACTCCAGTAAGGGCTGGTGGTGGGGTCTCTGGAGCCATCCCTTTCTTTCTCTATAGTATTGGGGTTCACAAAAAAGTGCTTTGTGCCACCACTGAGGAGAAGAATGGAACTGGATGATTACTGCTCACTGAAAGAGCTTTCTCCTAAATTCCCTGGCTCCATTGCATTTCTGTCTCTTGTGAGAAACAGAAGGATGCAGATATAGCTGAAAGACCAGATGCAGATGTCACCTACACAGCTGCAGTTCTGACTACAACAGTGGGTATTACTGGGCTCATATCACTAACTCACTGTAATCTTTAGCTTCTCACAGGTTGCAAGGTCCAGGGAGAGCAGTAGAGAGAAGAGGATTTCTTCTCTTCATAGCTAGACATCCTCTATCCCCTGCTTCTTGCTCTTAGAAGAGTAGATTGTTCACAGGAAAACTAGATGTGGACCATGGCCAACTAGAACAGACAGGAGATGAGGAAAAGCCTGTCCCATCTCATGGAAGTGCTTTGAAAGAAGCACCGCTAGGCAGTGAAACAACTTCTCTTAAGTTTTGGTGAAACAACTTCTCTTACGTTTTGGTGTGTCCTGGGACAGTGCATGTGGTAGGGGAGGGCCCCATGTATTCCTTGTCATCGCACCCTGACTTCAAGGGAGGGAGAGAATATTTATTCCCAATGCATAGAGGTGGGAATGCGTTTCACTTTGCAAAATGGCCAAAGCAATCAGCGAGTGATGGAGTATCTGCTAAAAAGAAACCTGGCATTTAATTAACTTTTCAAAGTGCTGTTTCAGCAACTTCCATGTTTTACATTTTGAATATTGAACAAGCGTCCCTAATCGGGACTGAATTACTTCTGGGCTTGCTGGGGTGGAGAGCAAGGGAGCTGCCATTTGCCAGTGCCTCCCCCCCACGTTATTATTATGAACTCCTGTTAACTCAGCCAGATCAACCCTGATTTACTGCAGCGACAGCATGTCTGACCTGAACTTGGCCAGCTCAGGTGGGGCTCCTAACCTACAAAGGCAACCAGATAATCTTTATGCACAGACAGGGGGAGGAGGGACCTTTTGATCTCTCAGGGGTAGATAGAGTATAGTATTTTCTTCACTCCTTAATGTGCCAACCTCTCTACTCAGGTAAGGCAAGCTTTACCTGCAGCTGATGGCAGAGGGGGTGGAAAAGTACCTGAGATGCTAAAAAAACAGGGATTATGGCTCTTGCTGTATCAGGGCATGGCTGTCTTTTTGCACCCAAATGCTTCTGCTTCAGTCTGATGCACTCAGGGACTGGTTTAATGGTCACTCAGAACTCTTTAAGGTGCAATGTGTTATATTGGACCTGGTGCAGGAACTGTTTTGCCCAATAACAGTGATGTAGAGAAAAGTGCAGTTTTAAAATTTTCTCTAGCCTTTTCCAAGCATAAGCCTTTCCTTGTCTTGCAGGTCAGGAAGAAAGCATGCAGAAGAAGTAGAAGAGTAAGTTCTTGTTGCTGAAGCTTCTTCCACAACTTCTACATCTGATCTCATTGGCAAGGGACATGCACCAGTACACCAAGATCTGGAATTTGGGAAGGGTGCAGAGCCTGGCATGAATTCATGTCATGTGTCCTGGGATGGGGCAGGGATGGTCATTCTGTAGTTCCCTGGATATGGAGTAGGTGATGGCTCTGTCACTCCCATATGACAGAAAGAAGTAAGAGTAGAAAGCATCAGCTTTCCTCCCAGGTCCACCCCAGGCCCTACTGTGTGCAGTCTTAGGGTTTGTCTCAGGTACAAGGCATCTTGCTTAAGCACTCTAAGCTGAGATTTCTGCTGGGTCCAGCAATGAGGGGTGTGGAAGAAGGTCAATCTGCAGGCTAAACATACCTGGGAACTCTACCCTTGACAGGCCATGAGGCTGGTGGGGAGGAAGGGGACAAGATGCTTTTCTGGGCTTGCAATTGAAATTCTTTCTTACTTGTGTTTTGCTGCAGCCACCGGCTCAGACAGCAGAGCCCGGAGGCATCAGATGATGGAGGAGGTAAGCTATCACCTACCTGACTGAAGTTAGTGTCTTCATGCATGTTTGGGGGTTCTCCAGTAAAGTAAGCAGAGGCGTCTTGTAAGAAATTGCAATGAAATTAACAACTCTGGGTGTAGACAAATGCAGGAGTTGCGTACGTCTCCCCAGCTGTTGAATGAGGTAGAGAGAGCAAAGGACATGGAGAGGAGGATGAGGAAGTGAACCTGTAGTCTAACTCTGGCTCAGCATTAACATAGGATGATAAAGCACCTTTGGGAAGAAGGAAAGTGTTGAGGACATGCTTTCCTCTGTAATTACAACCACATGGAGAATAGTGGGCTGGGACAAAAAGAGAGCTAAAAGAGCAATAAAAGGTTAAGAGCAGGGAAAGAAATCACTGTTGTTCCCTAGTTTAGGTGATAGTATGCTCTATTTAAAGCCTCTCTTATGTTTTATGGTAACATCCTTGTCTTGTTCCCATCAGGACAAGTGTCTGCACCACTCTCCTGGGGTCTCTGTCATGAGGGAATTGTTAATTTAAAAAATCCGCTTGCCCTAACCCAAGATCATAGATCATAAGCTAAACATAGACACTGGTGGGTAATCCATCCCATCCCTGTACAGGCTGCTGTGAAATCGACTGGACTCCTGATTTAGCACTATTTTTCTTTATAGTGTATATCACCTGCTCTTTTAGGACTGGATGAGCTGAGAGAAATCTCAGGAAAAATCCACACTATGATTTTCAAGACAAGCACTAGAGAACTGTGTGGAGCATATAAATTCCTTAATGCCTCTAGGAGCTACCTCAGTTTTCAAGGGCTAAGCATTTTATATAGTGTATAAAAAGTTGCATCTGTAAAATATCACCAAGTATCAGAAGAATTACTAGGAGTCACAAAGGATCAGACATCAGTATGGTTAATGAGATTAAATGAAGACTTATTTGGGTCTTCCAGAAAGATTAAGCATTGCAACATATGACTGCCAGAAGTGGCACCTTTATAGCATTGGCATCTTCAGAATAGACTTAATTTTCCCCCTGGGAAGTTTCTTGGGCTTCTTAAATTTCAGTGTATGTCACTGAGGCTGATAGTCTGTTCTGAACTGCTCTCTGACTGTTTGCATATGTGCTGCCCTTCTTGTTGAACCTTGGTCTTGTATTCAGAGTATAATAACTGTCTTTGCTAACTAGGCATAAAAATGCTTGCCACATGTTTGCAGCATGTGACTTTTAGTGCTCCAAGACTTTGGGAAATAAATACATAATATAATTGATACAGAATGTGTTATGAAGACATGGTAAGTCTTAATACAGTTCACTTATTTATGTGTGCCTAGCCTATGGTTAACAGTTGAATTTGGATTGTTTGCAAACCAGAGTTCAGTTTTGGATTAAATCTATGTGTTAGCAGAAAGATCCCACTAATCTGATTGTGGTTCCTACCCCAGGCAGTTTCTGATAGAGTCAAATACATTGGGTTGTGGATCTAATTTGCATATGGAAAATCTCTGAATGGATCAGTGCATGCTTGTGATCCTATTTCTACAGGGAGATTAAACAAGCTATTCTGGGAGAGGAGTTTTCCATGTGGGCTCAATAATTGCAGTGAAGAAAGGTGACATATAAACTGAATAAAATTACTTTTTTGAATAAGTAGAGAGATACAAATAACTGCCCTGTGCAGAAGGCAATGAGTAGCATGCTGTGGCTGTGCAGTAAGTTGAGCCGTATCAGCCTCCCCTTTGCACAGAACTGTGCTTGGGCTTGTGTCAACCGTAACAGTAAACCTGAGATTCTAAACACACAAAAATCAGGACATTTTTGGGCTTGTGTCGTTAACCGTAACAGTAAACCTCAGATTCTAAACACACAAAAATCAGGACATTGGTGTATGGATCCCCAAGGATGTAATGGTTATTTTGTGTTGCATAATGTGTTAGCTTGTACACCTTAATATGAACAGGCGCAGTTGTGTAATGATTGCTGCTGTCAACCAATGCATTTGGATCATCTTCCTTTAACCTATTAGAAGGCTTAGCTGTACCATTCCATTAACATTGTTTGTGCCCCATCCAACCTTTTCATTAGAAGAATGAAGGACAACACGATATGCCCTTAAAAAGTTATTCTTGTATTTGAAATGTGCTCAGCACATAACTAACAATGAAATGTGCTATACAGCACTAACACCCAGAGGCTCAAAATTTTGAATCCATTGGAGAAAGTGTTAAAAAAGCATAGGCCTGGAGAGAGCCCAGTTTGGTATGTGGAAAGTGGAGAGAAAGTTGTACAGCCAAGTGGAGACTTTTGAGCTTGATATGCCTTGGAGTTTCATAAATAAAAATAGAATTCTCTCACTGCTCCCTGTGCATGAAATAGCATCTGATTCCTCATCTTCATGGGAGTTTGGGTGAGAAGGACAGTCACTTCTCAGCCTGTGTGGAAAGACTGAAGTAATATGGGAGATTGTAAGTGGGTGGACCAGACAAGGACATGCATGGAACTGTCTACAATTTCAGCCATTCCTTGCAGTTGCAGAGGGAAACCCAGAAGGTGCAAGTCATTCATACTGCGCAATACAAACAGTTGAAATACTAGCAGTGAAGTACCTTGGCTCAGGTGGTACTCAGAATTCATTTTCTCTAATCCATATTTCTTCTTTGTAGAGGCTAGTCCAGGACAAGAGAGCTACTTTAAAGAGGGGCCAGTTCTGAGTTACAGGAAAGCAAAGATGTATGTTTGACTACAAGCACCATTTGCCCCTGTAAAACTTCAGGCTGGAAAGACTGTTTTGAAAAAGTGCAGTGTCTCTCTAGAAACAGCTCTGGAATGTCTAGTTGATGGATATTGGGGTTTCCTACAGCACCCACGGTAAGCTTAGTGCCCATCCTCCTGAGCACACACTGGTATATGCTAGTACACAGGCATAGCAAGTAGATAATGCACCTTTGCTAGGTGGGTGTGTGTCTAGCTGAACCTTGTCATGGGGGACGGCCCAGCTCCTCTGCGTGGTGGGAAACATGCTTTAGCAGGATTTAATGCATCACAACTTGAGGAATAATAAACCTTCACAAGCAACAAAAAAATGTTTTAATTCCTAAAGGACAGGCCTGGTTGAGTCACTTTTGGCCAGGGGCAATTTGGGGCTTAATGCACTGTATGTAGCAATCTGGGCAATCTGAGAGAGAGGGTGGCCCAGCTCCTCTGCGTGGTGGGAAACATGCTTTAGCAGGATTTAATGCATCACAACTTGAGGAATAATAAACCTTCACAAGCAACAAAAAAATGTTTTAATTCCTAAAGGACAGGCCTGGTTGAGTCACTTTTGGCCAGGGGCAATTTGGGGCTTAATGCACTGTATGTAGCAATCTGGGCAATCTGAGAGAGAGGAGTTTAAGGGTAATTGCTCAATTTTCTGTCCATGTCAACAGGGGAAATGGGCAGCAGTGACTGAGCTCTGTATGACAGGGAAACTGCATGAGATGGGAGATGTGAGACTTAAAATTTTAAAAGTGCTGTCTGCAGACCACTGCTTCCTTTTCTGTAGCAGCCAAGAGCTTCTTCCAGGTGCAGGCTATTCTTTGTCATGAGGTGGGAGGGAAGACAAAACCACCAAGTTGATGTTGAAGGGCTTTCCTCTCCCTTTGCTCCTTTCTCCAGCAGAGCAGTAGAGTCTCTGCTTTGACTGCCTGGGTATTTAATTTGGCTTTAATCTGCTTGTGTGTCTCTTTCTGGCATGTAGCTGCAAAGGGCTGTTTCCTGTTGGGGTGAGAAATGCTGGCATTCCCCTCCTCCCTCAGCAAACTGCTTTGTCCTTTTGGCTAAAAGTTTCTTTGTTGTTCCTTTCTTGTCCACCAGTTTTGCACTGCTGAGTTGCACTCCCCCAGATGCCTGTCTTCTCACTACGTTGCCATTGGATTTTTCTCCTCAGCACTCTACTGCGCCTTGTTAGCTAAGGTTGTCATCTCTCTCACAGCTATCCTTCCCCCATAGACTATTGCCCCGTCTTCAGAAGAAGTCTCTTTCTCCCTCTCTCTGTTGCCCTTGGGATGCATAGCTCCTAGAACAGGGCTTTTCTTGGAGGACTGGGATGTGATGTGTGATTCTCTGCAGGAACAATGGCTTGTTATTTTAAAGCAGATAGTGTGTGTGAATGAGACAGCTTATTGAAATGAAAGCCTGACTATGCTACACAGGCAACCCAAACCTGACCTGCAGGTGAGGAAAGCTGCCAGGAGACAGTTACTAGATCTGTGCCCTCAAGGCAAAACTCCTTCCTGCCTGCTGGGAAGCCTCCTCAAGGAAGCAGAGCTGACGATTAGACCTTTCTATGCAATGTCAAACCTCTAGAAAGACTTCTTACCTTTCTGGCATGTGCCAGCAGCTCCTTTGCATTTGAACAGGATGGGAGTCCAGGCTCTGTGCAGAACAGGAGCCATAGAAAATGTTTTACTGTTCCATCAAAGGTTAATCATGCTTGCTTGGGAAAAAAAAAAAGAAATGGAGGAAGTGGGCATATGCCAAGTGGCCCACATCTTTTTGGGGAGTGATATCTGTCTGCCAGGTGGGAGACAAGCCTCACAGGATATTCATCACCTGGAGTTCACAGACATAAAATACCAAACACCTCTTGAGCTGCGTGTGAATACACTCCAATGACGAATTTGCTCCAAACAGAGCTGAGAATAGAGCGGAGTGTGGGTTATTGTTGGCTCTGTCATTCCTGATAAAGTTTGCCAGTTGCTTTCCTGTTGAGCTTATGTTTTTACAGAACACAGCAAGTGCTGGTGGATTCCAGGGAGTTTGTGACAAAGAAAACAGCTAGCCTGGTTCAGTACTAGGCAGAAGGGTAAGAGAGGGAGGAATTTACAGGAACAGTCAGGGAGATGGCCACTGAGTACTTCATAGGCTTAGGAGGCAGTGGTGGAGTAGTTTGGAGGGAGCTAAATGGACTAAAAGCGCTGGCCGTTAGTGAAATGCAGATGGAGTGAAAAACATGGTGTTTTGGAAGTGG